GCTGGGGGCACAGCCCGTGAGCACAGCCCATGGGCACAGCCTGGGAGCACAGCACAGACCACAGCCTGGGGGCACAGCCTGGGAGCACAGCCCATGGGCACAGCCTGGGAGCACAGCACAGACCACAGCCTGGGAGCACAGCACAGATCACAGCCTGGGGGCACAGCCATGAGCATAAATCACAACCTGAGAGTACAGCCCATGGGCACAGCCTGAGAGCACAGCCATGAGCATAGGTTACAGCCCTCCAGCACAGCCTGCAGGCACAGCATGGGTGTAGATCACAGCCTGTGGGTACAGCCCGTGGGCACAGCCTGAGAGCACAGCCACGAGGATCGATCACAGCCTGTGTGTGGCTGCTGGCAGCCCCAGTCAGGTCTGGTGGTTAAGAGGTGGCGATGGGAGGGCAGAGCAGTGGGGCTGACCCGCTGTCACCCCATGTGTGTGCTGGACAGGGCATGTGGGGGCAGGTGGCCCCTGTGAGAGGCCGCTCTCCCCGTGCTCAGCTGCTGCTGCTCTCCCTCCCTGCGCCGGGTCTGGGCCCTGAGCTCGGGGGCACAATGGGAGGAGTGAGAAGGGTCTCTGATTTATGCAGCCAGCTGTATTTGTAATGCTTTTCTTTCTGCCTGTGTGTCTTCATTAACAGGGATTAACTCTCCTTACAAGGGAAATTAATTCCTTGTCCCTGGTTGCATCTGACTGACGAGCTGCCGCTCAGAAGCGATGAGCTGGGAGGAGTGTGGAGGGTCATCTGGCAGCCAGTGTTTCCTGCTGCCGCTGTCACTATTCTCAGACTCGCATCACCACAGGTTCCCCTCCTGTGGGATCACATCATTTCCCTTTTTAGAGATGTTTTCCCAGGGGAAGCGTTCCCCAAAGCACGCTCAGGTTACAAGGAGGCAGCCGCTCCGAGCTGGCACACGGGTGGCTGGTTGGAATCACCCAGGGATGTTTTTCCCTTGAGGACTCTGTTTCATGATGGATACCTGCCAGAGGTGGATTAAAACCAAAATGCAATTAGATAAATTCATAAATAAATCACACTGGATTTGGAAATGAGTATGGAGAGGAGGATGCCAGTGGCAGGAGCCCTTTGAGTTGCAGTGCCAAGGGTGGCTGCTGTGTTTGATTGTGCTTCCAGCTGTGTGGTGGCCATGGGCTGGTCAGTGCTGTGGGGACACGAGGGCTCAAAAGTGTCCTGGTCATTGGTGTACCCAATGTCCCCAAGCGCTGGCTGTGCCCATGACCAGGGAAGCAGGCACATCCATGGGAGCCTGAGGGGAGATGTACAGGGGCACTCCTTCATGTGGTGCCTCCAGGGCAGCCCTGGCTGAGACTTTGACCACAGTGCACGGGGAACTATTGAAGTTTGGGACTTCAGTGTGCAGGATTTGGCCCTCCAGATGCTGCTCTTGATATGGCTGTTCAGAGGAGTGATGCACTGCTGAGTCAGTCCTCTGCACAAGAGGGAGCTGTGAGAGTAGCACTGTCACAGAACACCCAGGGGCACAATCTGCAGTAAAAAACATTTTTGTCAATTAGTAAAACTTAAAAAAGTTTTTAAAAAGGCTGAGTGGTTTTGCTTTGAACTTGTACAGAAAGGAGGAGATGGTCAAGTTGCAAACCCCTGAAAACAAGGGCTGAGGCTTGGAGGAGCATCTCTGTGTCACCTGTACTGGTGCAGCTGCAGGTGTCTCCATGGGCTCCGCTTGCAGCCGAGCAGGCCCTCACTCCTCAGCCATATTCCTGCACGGACGAACATTCCAGCTCCCCAACAGCCTTCTGTGCTGTGATTGCATCTGTCTCATCTCTGCCCCTGGGGGATGTCCTTGTCGTTGTCCTTGTCCTTGTAGTAGGGCTGTTCCAGCCCTGCCATCCTGTCATGGCCCTCACCTGGGCTCTGCTCTGGTCACTGCACCACGTAGATCACTTTAAAGAAATCCAGCTGCTTCTACCCTTTAAGCTGTTTGAGCTTTGCTTTCTGTGTTCACTGGAGTCAAGAGCACATCCGGGTTGACCCACAGACTCTGTGGTCCATGCTGCACTACTGGCTTACAAAATCCCTCTCTGTTGGGAGGAGGGGATGTCTGTTCCTGTTTTTTCCTTCTGCAAATGAGTTTAAACAGTGAAATGTGTAGGTGAGAAGATAATTTGCGAGTGCATTCCAGTGTAGTGGTCATTTGATCTGGAGTATCCAAATTTAGTATCCAAACACTAAACAAGCACATCGTTTTTATAAGCAGCAAAACATTTGAATGTGCTTTATAAGTTACAGAAATACAGAACGGATTTTGGAGATGCTGCATGGTCTGGCTGTTACTTCCCAGAGGACCCAGCAGTGTGTCTACCTGCTCTTCCAGGGATCTGCTGCTGTGGCACTGGCATTTGTTATGGCATGATCAGAGCTTTATAAGGCTCTGCTCACTATCCCTTGGAATGAACTGTCCTGGAGAAAAATAACCACGATGATGTTAGCATCTAATCCTGGAGTATGATTGGTTCTGCTTAGAATTTTAAATATTTATTTTGAAGAGCAATGTGTGCCGGCAGGAATTAAGTCAGCGCACGTTCTGTGGTGCCGAGTCAGGCTGTTCCACAGCTGAGAGCTCTCGGTGGGTACACCTGGGGTTTGAAGGGAGGCAGGCAGACACCACAGCTCTGCCGGGCAGCGTGCCGTGTCTCCTGAATTAATGGGAGTCTCGGTGAGATAAGGCTGGTGAATGCTGCTAGCAGTAGGATTGCTGTCATCTGTATTCCATACAGCATGCAGATGTTTGGGTGTCCAGTGCATCTGGCCACTCTCGTAAGGAACCGGCACTCAGGGTGGAAATGTCGTGGCTTGAGGCTTTTCCACAGCTTTCCTACTCCCTTGCCAGAAATGTCTTGAACAAAGTATGGTTCTTCAGTGAACTAGAAAAGAAGGAGGAAGGACAGGGAATTGAGAGAGAAAGGAATTGCCTAATGCTTTATCAAAACTGGCTGTTTCCATTGTAATGCCATCATAGTCTATTAGAAGTGTTCCTCAGTCAAGAATGACCACAGCCAAGCTGCTGTCTCCTGCTTGCTTCTTATATGCCATTTTTTGCCAGAAAGAAGCAACTCAGAAGTTCTTGGAGCTGTGAGCTCTGGGTGATCAGGGCTGTGAGTCGGCGGGGCTGTGTGTTCAAGTGCTCAGAGTGTCCTGGATGCCAGCACACCCACTTTGGTGGGGTCTCTTGGGTGCAGAGGAGGGGCTGGGAGGTGGGACATGCTTGGAAGGCTGTCTGTGTCCCTCCATCCATACCCTGCCCAGCACTGGAGTGAGCAGTGAGGGCCTCTGCCATGGCTGGGGCGTGGCTGTGTCCCCGCCAGGGTGGCACCTCCAGTCCCAGCAGGGCCATCAAAGCAAACTCAGCCCAAAACCCGAGCAAGGCAAGGGAATTAAAGTGAGTCAGTGACACTGCAGCTCTAACTCAGCATTTTGCAGGAGGCTGGAGTATCTGTGCCTTTTCTGTTTATGTTTCCTAACATACTGAGTTGAAAATTACAGTACTAATTACAGGGCTATTAATAAATAACTAATAAAAGCTCTCCAGATCTGAAAGACCAGACAGCACATCGTGCTTTTGTGCCTCTCTGTACTCAAGCAGATGAATGATATACTGCAGCGTGCCCATGGCAAAAAATAACCCCATTTCAATGCTTACTTTTAAATAAGCAAGAATTGGAAATGTTCTGGGTTGTTACCTCACAGTGGCTAAAAAGCCATTGCTGGTCACACTGGTTAGAAGGAGCAGCAGTTCAGGGTTGTGCCTGGCTGCTGTGAGCCCTCATCCCGAGGTCTGTTCGGGAGCACTGAGGGAGCTGTTCTTTGCCTTAGTGCAGCAACTGTGCTACAGCTCTGAAAACTTGCCCTGGACATGCCAAGATTATCTCTACCTGCTTATTTCAGCATTCTGGTCATTCCCTTTTGGTTTTTAACCAGGATAAAAGTAGCTCTTCTGTGGATGAGTTCTCTCTCTCTCTCTGTATATAGGTACTTTATATATATACACTCATATATGAATTTGTATCTATCATTTCTGTGTTATTAGTGAAGTAGTTCTTGCTTACATGTGGAGTGGTTTTGAGACCTCTGTTTAGTGGATCAATAGTACAAAACAAGGAGCAAAGACAGCTGTCTTTAGTTCATCCTTTTCTTCATCTTCAGAGGAAGAGGGTTCAGTTTACTCTTAGACTGCAAACAAATGATCAGAGGAAATTATCCATTTTTGTCCGTGTGGGAGGCCCGTGTTTGGGTAGAGGACACTGGTTCCTGACCCAGAAAGTGTTCCTAGGTGATGAAAGAGAACCTCCTTCCCCAGTCCTCCCTGTGTCACGCTGGCTGGCACAGTGGTCTGTGTGGGACTGGACCAGGAAAGGGGTCTGACTGTAGGATTACCTGGCAGGCAGGCGGTTATTTTCCGGCTGAGAAATTTGCCTGAGCTGTTCCCTGTGTGCTGCAGAATCTGTTCTGTGAACAATGGGCAGGAGGGGCTGGGTCTGCTGTGAATACATACCTAGAGTCTGTCACCATGTGGAAAAAGCCTGTAAATAGGGTTGTACAGGAATGACTCTGGACAAATGGATGTTTCCTGTGGTCAGGTTGACACGTGTCAGTTCATAAGTGCAGAGGATGGGCAGGAGGCACTGGCAGCAGCACAGGGGTTAAACAGCAGCCAGAGCATCGGCATGGAGGGAAACCAAACCACCACCAAATTTGGGTTGTTGCAGGGATCGGAGCCAAGGTTCTTGAGGAAATACTGATGATCCGAGCTCATGGGCACCCACCTTGAACAGGAAATTCCATCTAGTGTAGTTGTTTTATTTTTATACCGACCCGTTTGCTTTTGTCCCTTTGTTTCCTGCGGCCTTTGGAAAACTGGAATGCCAAGTGCGTTTATTGGTGGTTTGGGGAGAACGGACCATGACAAGAGCCCATGTCTGTCAAACACGGTGTTTGCATGGCATGTGGGAAGGGGGCCTGTGTTTGTCACACTGGTGGCAGTTTGTGTCTGCAGAGCTGGGGTGGCCAGGGGTCCAGGGGGTCTGTGAGGGCTCGGGGCCGGCTGGAGCCCACGTGGCACAGTGAGGATGCTGTGGGGGGCTGCCAGCCAAGAGGCTTCCTTGCTGCAGTGTCTGATCCCTCCAGCTTCCACTGGCTGCTGGCATGTGACAGCAGGACTGATACCTGCTGGGGGGGTGGGCCGTGCCACCACCATGGGCTGTGGATTGCCCTCTCCTGGCAGGCGCTTGGATCATGAGGGCACATGGACAGGGAGCAGCTCCCTGGGGGCAGCCCCGTATCGCCCTCCCAGCACTTGTGACCACTCACCTTATTGAGCACCTGGAATGTGGTGATTCAGCACTGCCAGGTCCCAGTGGAGTGTGGCTGAGCACCTTGGGGTGCTTGAGTAGTTCCCAAGAGCAACCACAGCACATTTCTTCAGGAAACAGAAATAGCCCTGTGGGCAGTTAAGCAGGAGCCAAAATGACACCTGCTGAGTGCTTGGCTCTGATCCTTGTGGGGTTTGATGCTCTTTAGCATCAGAAGAGGCTGTAGAGAAGCCAATGTCTGCTGCCAGGTCCCCAGTCCCACCGTCCCACCACCGCTGTGCCCCACCTGGGGCCGGGCCCCATCCTTGTGGTGCTCTCACAGGCGTTTGCAAACCCCTGCTCCGCTCCAAGCCATGCCTGCAGCACACGTCACCCAAACTAAGGGTCTTTCTTTTCCTGGTGTCACAGGTATGTCGAGAGTACCAGCGTGGGAACTGCAACAGGGGAGAGAACGACTGCCGGTTCGCTCACCCCGCCGACAGCGCCATGATCGACACCAACGACAACACGGTCACCGTCTGCATGGATTACATCAAAGGGAGATGCTCACGGGAAAAGTGCAAATATTTTCACCCTCCTGCACACCTGCAAGCCAAGATCAAGGCTGCCCAGTACCAGGTTAACCAAGCTGCAGCTGCCCAGGCAGCAGCAACTGCAGCTGCCATGGTAAGTGTGGGAAAACCTCTGGATGTAGAGGTACATTGAGGAGAGGTGCCAGTGGATGTGTGTCTGTCCTTGCTGAGGGGGGGGTGTGCTTGGGGACCCTGGTCACTACACGGTGCAATGAGCTTTCTCAGCATGTGGTGCCAGATCTGTTCTGAAGTAGTTCCAGACCGTTGAGGTGTTTGACTAATTTTGCCTGCTGATGTACAGAGTACCCTGTATGTACCTGTGTGTGTTCATACACGTGTGTATCTGTACCTGTGGGCTACATGTATATCTGGTTGGCTGTGTATCTGTGTGTGAGCAGATGTGTATCTCTCTAGCTGCACAGATAGATAAACCCTTATTTAGTTCCTGTAAGTCCATGTTTGTAGAGTTGTAGTTTGAAGTGGATCTGACCATGTTACTGCTGTTCCCATCCCATGTCCCCCGAGGGCTGGCGGCAGCTCCCACGGGCACAGGCCCCGTAGCTGTAGCAGCCAGGTCTGGACCCACTCAGGAGGTGGTTTCCTGGCAAGGCGAGGGTAGCACTGAGGGGGGCTGTGGTGGCAGAGGGTCCCGCCAGTGCTGAGCCCGTGGGGGTGTGGGAAGCAGGGCACGGCGGGCACGGCCGGAGCAGCAGGGCCGGCGGGGCGAGGCGGTGGCCACGGGCTCCCAGCGGGGCTCCCAGCGGGGCTCCCGGTGGCCGGTGCGGGGAGCCCCGTTCCCGGTTCTGCGCAGCCGTGAGCGCCCCGCGGGCACCTCTCTGCTGTGGGCACCTCCCTGCTGCGGGCACCTCCCTGCTGCCCCGCTGCCCTGCCCGCCGGGGGCCGCCCGCCGGCCCCCCTGCATGCCTAGTCTTGTTACCGTTGTACACGGCATCCGGTGATTTGTTTTTATTTGTTTTTTCTCACCTCCCCAATGCACTGCTGCCCCCATGACGCACCTCTGCTTGCTGTTTATGTTAATGCGCTTGACCCCACTGGCCATTGCCATCATGTGCTCGCTGCCTGCTAATTAAGACTCAGTCGGCTGTCAAATCACTGAAGCGACCCCTCGAGGCAACCTTTGACCTGGTACTATGACCTTTCACCTTTTAGCTTGGCATGTAGCTGTATCGTAGAGTCGAGTTTGGGGTTAATGTGTAGAAATGGAACATCCCGGTTTCCCTCCCCACGTCCCCGGCAAAGGGCGTGTGGGCGGCCGGGCCGGGCACCCTCCCTGCAGCCCCCGCCGCCCCCGCGCCCCGCCGGCCCCCTCCCNCCCCCGCGCCCCGCCGGCCCCCTCCCGTGCCCGTCCCTGCCCTCCCACCCCGTCCCCCCGTCCCTCCCCGGGTGCCGGCGCAGGGCGCGTTGGCATGGCTTGGTGGCGCGGAGGCGGCCGGGTGCCGGCATGCGGCGCGTGCTCTGCATGCCCGGGCAGCGCTGGGGCCCGGGGAGTGGGTTGGCACCACGGCCCCGCCGTCTGCCCCGGACGGTGACTATTAACATGGCTTTACGTGTATCCTCATGGAGCTAGCAGTGCTGCTTCCCCGAGAGCCTCGCTCCTGACCCGGCCCGAAGCTTTCCCGTAGGGCGGTGCTCAGGCCGGTCCCGCCGTCCCTGTGCCACTGTAATGGCAGGCAAACGGTGCTCCCTGGAAAGCTGTTCCCTCGCCTTTTATTTGGTAGTTCAGTCTGCTATGCTGCTTGCTTGCTCATGGAGAAACATGGTGCTGCCTGGTTATTTTGCCTTCTACTGATTTTTCTTTTTTTCCTTTTTTCTCTCTCCTTTTCTTCTCCCTCCCTCCCATCCTCCTCCACACCCCACCCACCCCCTTTTGGTTTTTTTTCTTTTTGTTACCGGACTTTATTTTTATACCCATCCACCATTCAGGGAATTCCTCAAGCTGTACTTCCCCCCTTACCAAAGAGGCCTGCGCTTGAAAAAACCAATGGTGCCACCGCAGTCTTTAACACTGGTATCTTCCAGTACCAGCAAGCTCTTGCCAACATGCAGTTACAGCAGCATACAGCCTTTCTCCCACCAGGTAAGTGCTGCTCGGCCGCCTTTTTCCGGGGAGGGAGAAGGGGGAGTTCTGGAAAAAACACAGTAGGAAGTAGTTGTTTGTTGCTGGTGGCAAATGCAGTGTGTGCTGGAGGCCACTGGTGATGGGCACAGGCATCCCCTCCAGCCCGTGGGCAGTGGAGGTGCTGGCTGTGGGAACACTGGCTTCTCTCTGCTCCTCGCAGAAGCTGGGTGGGTGTTTTCCAGTCTAACATAAAAATCAGCATCATGCTCTGTCACCTCGAATCAGAATTTGAAATCTCTCTCCTTTCTCTTTCCCTGGATTAACTCCTCTTCTTTACATATCCCTGAACTGTTGTGTTTGCTTCTCTTCACTGTAAGACCTCTTGGCCTTCGTGTGCTTGGCAGCAGTGGGGCTGAGTCACACACTCCAAGGTGTTGGCTCTCGTGAGGTGCAGTGGTCACAGAAGGCACAGGCAGTCTCACAGCTGGGAGAATCACGAACCTACACAAGAAATCACGGTTTGGGCCTCCAGTGCCTCAGGGCCAATCTTGGGCTGAGCAGAGCCAAGTGCTCAGCCAGGAGTGATCAGATCTGACTTGTCCTGGTGTAAGAGCTGAAGAGTTGATGCCTGTACTATTGTACCAAGCAGAAATCCCTTCAGAGGACAAGTGATGGGACTTAGATTTGAAATATATGCTTTGGTTCTGCAAACGGCACTTCACGAGAAATGATCTCCGGTATGTCCTGGCAGTTTCTGCCCTTAGTAACTCAGCTGAGGTAGTTTGTTACACATGAACCCCCACTAAAGCAGCACCTCCTTCCAGGAGCTGTGCAGGGCCCAGCTGATAGATCTGTACTCAGAAATGGGAAGGGGTCTGTGAGGACAGCCCTTCATAATGCAGACTGGGGAGGGGAGGAAATACAGCTAATCAGACTTCACCTAAAAAATTGAAAGGTTTTATCCTAAATATTTTTGGGAAGTATGTTCCCAGGAGTTCAGTATAATGCTCTTTATCATTTTCTTGATCTGGCATACAGCCAACATGTGTACTTTAAATGGCACAGAAACCAGTTTCTTCATGTAGAACATTTTAATAACTTATTTAGGTTCCAAAAGTGCATTGCACCACTGAAATGTATCGCTAAAAGCTTGTTGCAAAGCCGGATTGAGTCAGCTGTAGGTCAGAGCTCTGGCACACATACTAAAATCCATATAAAAATGCCTATGTGATCATAGAATCATTGAATCTCAGAATGGTTTGGATTGGGAAGAACCTTAAAGACCACCTCATTCCAACCCCCTGCCATGGGCAGGGACACCTTCCACTAGAGCAGGTTGCTCAGAGCCCCATCCAGGAAGATTCACAGCCCTTGCTGTACATATTAAACAATTCACAGATTTCTTTTGGCACAGCATAACCAGTGGAACCAGTAAACTGCAATTTTCCAGCTTCCATTAAAGCAGCGAGGGCCTGGATGTTTTCTGGAAGTGCTGGAGATGCTTGAATCACATCCTTTGAAGTTGGGAGCTGGGGTTGTGGTTTACCTGTGTCAGACCCCATTTGCACCTCATGATCAACTGGGATCTTTCCCAGCTCTTCCACACAGGCTACCTCAGCTCTTCCTTCACATGTCCACACTGAAACCTCCAGGAGCTTGACAGTAGTTCTTGATACTTCATTAGACCTTTCCTGACCACTGAAGTTTAGTATATGTTACACAAGCAAAGTAAAGGAGTTTTTAGCATGAGCTACTATAAATTGTCTTTTTATATTTTTCAGATAGCGGCAGTTTGAGCTTTCCAGTAATCCAGTACTTTCCCAAAAGCTTGAAAAATGTCTTTGCCACCTTGCCCTTTATAGCTTTTCCCACTTCAAGTAAACTGGGATCAGTTCCTGTTCAGGCACAGTCACCTGGAAATAAAATTTCTCCATCAGTCCTTACGAAGCGACGGAGAGCACAGAACGCAGGTGCCCTCAGCTCTGTGGCCATGGAGCAGGGGCAGGTCAGCTCAGTGGGATCTGAATTAAAGTGACATTTTTCAGGTTCAGACACCCAAGGTGTAAGTGCTCATTTGTGTTCTTAGTTGCTTCAGCTGCAGGGTGTGAAGTGCAGGAGGGCCCCAGGGCAGGACCCACACAGAACCCACAGAGGGTGGGTGTGCATGGGGTTGGTCCTCTGTGGGGGATCTGGGCAGGACCCTCCTGTGCAGGGCACTTCACTCCTCATGTTCTTCACTCATGTTCCAGACAACTTTAGATACCTCTTTTGAATTTTAAGGCATCATTCTGGCTGCCTGTGTGCCAGGATGTGAGACACATCAAGGGATCATCCGTGCCAGAGGTTGGACACTGCACTCCAGCACACCCTAATCAATTAAATGCCCTTAGACACTCATCTCACCTCTCTCTGCTAAAGCTCCCTCTTCCACAGCTCTCCTCTTGAGGGGGAAACCTTGGCTGCCAGAATCTGTCCCCAGGCTGAGAGGGGAGTTTAAAGGCATTGCAAGAAAGAACTGGGAACACTTGTGGTGCTGAAATAAGTGGAGTTAGTCTGCCAAGTGAGGAGGCTCTGCATGACTTAGTGATGTTCACAGCGTGTTTTGGTATTTGTGTCCTGGCTGCTGACTTGGGACACCCTGGCAGACAGGGGTGAACCTCTCGCTGTGAACGTGCAGAGCTCCAGGTCCTTGTGCTCACCTTCCCCTGCTCCGTGTCCTGCAGTGACTGGAGCTGGCTGGGGCATGCCTGGCCTTGCAGAGAGAGCTCCTGTGGGCAGCTGGGTCACATCCTGCCCTGGTGCTCATGGCCATCCTGTGGCTGAGCTCCCTGTCCCCTCAGGTGTGCGAGTACAGCTGTTCTGCCCAGTGTGTGTCACCAGGGTGACCAGAGTGTCTTTGAGAAATGAGTTCCTCCAAAGGAAGGGGTGGGGTTGGCAGGATGCTCCCAGGAGCTGATGTCCTGGTGCAGCTGCAAGGGGCAGGGCTGCAGCTGGCAGCTGAACCCCAGGGCCAGTGTGGAAAGGCTTCAGCCACCTCTGCTATCACATTAGCCCATCGTGTATTCCTTTAGTTACTGCAGCTTCAGCCCCAGAGACTCCCTTGCTCCGGGCTGGGACTCAGTGCCCAGAGGCTTTCTTAAAGCACCTTCCTCCCTGGGTCTGCTGGGCCTCTGCAGAACCACTGTTCTCCTCCTAAATGTTAGGGAAGGAAAGGTCAGGCACCACTGCTCACCTCCGTGGGAGTGCTTATCCTCTCTGGGGTGTTGTTTTTAGTTAGGGTTTAGTAGATTGGGCAGAAGAAGTAGGCTGAAGGGAATAGTATGAGGAATAGAAGAGAAAAATATACTTAAAACACCAGGAAACCTAGAATATTTATAAAAACAGTTTTATTGCACTGCAGAAATAATCTGGTTGTGAAGTTACGGTCAGTTAACTCAACACATCCTCAAATTAAAATTCTGCCTTGTGCTGAACAGCCAGGGAACATTGAAACAGCACATTCATTATTCATGTGTTCTCATTAGGCAGTCAAAGGTTCTGAAGTCAAGATGAATATTAAGGTCATAGCAAAAATTATTTTTATTATTGGTAAGAGGGTCATACAGCATTATGTCTGTATTTGGGAGTTATCCCACCCCAGTGAGTGTTCTCCCTTCTGCCTCATGTTCATTTGCTTCAGTTCCCTTTCAAACTGTGCATCCTGTTCATAATGTTAACGATGATAACAGACTGAAACTTGGAGCTGAAAAGCTTTACTGGGATATTTTAGAGTCATTATAAAGATCCAGTTCATCTGTAGCATGTAGATGTAATTATGTAGGGAACAAGGTACTATTCCAGCTCTAATGGAGGATGTACAGCCATGTAAACAGGGCACTTCTGCAGAGGCAGAACTCGGAGGCTTTTCTCTGTAACCTCATTAACACCGCAGAGATGCCATAAGAGGGACTGAGAAAGCAGTTTTGCTTACTGTTTGTACTTTATAGCCAAGTTCTGCTCCATTTTTTAATCTTGCAAGCGATCCTGTTGGTTTCAGCCATGATTTGTGCCTGTGGAGGTCAGGAGAGCTGCCCTGTCGTTACCATCTCTTTGCAAATGTTCTCGATCTCTTCCCTGACACAGAAATAGAGGAGTAATTAGGAAACACAATTATGGCCTTTCCTTTGTAGCCTCACAGACATGGCACTGACACAGAATAACCTGCCCCAGCAGTAATTAAACTGACCGACTTCTTCCCTGCACAGTCAAAGCTGCTGAGGTTGTGCAAAGCCCCTGCAGCGTTTGGCTCCGGCTGGAGCCATTTCCTGTCCCCTGCTATGGTCACAGGGTGTCACAGAGGCAGCATTGCCCTGGAAGTCTGCTAGGATATGTTTCCATTCCCACTGCAGTCTTGTTCCCAGATTTCAGAGTTTATTTCAGTTTCTGCTGTGTCAAGCATCATTTAGTAGTGTTAATAAATGTTAAATAAAAAAGTAAATAATTTATTAAAAATGGATATTCTGAAAGATCAGTTTATATTTATCATCTTGGAAGCAGAAATAGAAAATTGTGACATCAGTCTGGTGGAAGGCATTTAGCTGTGTAAAGTAAAAAGAATTACAAACTTGGTGATACTTAAAAATGATACCAGAATGTTCCTAAAAGTATCCTCGTGCTCCTGGCTCTCTGGTTGCAGGGCAGAACTCTCCAGGTGCTGTCACTGTATTGTTGTGTAGCCTGAAAGGAGTTGCAGGTTGTGAGCTCAGACACCAGCAGCTTAAAATCCATCCCATGCCACAGAACAAAACGCTGAGCAGGTGATCTGAGGTGTCCCCGTGAGCTGTGCAGGGACTGTGAGTGTTCAGTCCCTGCTCTGAGCCGTGCTGAGCAGACAGGGCAGAGGACAGTCGGGGTCCCTGCGCTGCTCTGGCGGCTCACGGGCAGGGGCACGGCAGAGCCCCCACCCACAGGCAGCTGGGACTGTGGAGTGTCTCCTTTACTCTGAGGAGCCCAGGGAAGGACAGGACAAGGCTGAGTCAAAGGGCACAGGGATTTCAGGAGTTGTGAGTTAAAGCTGAGGAGGTGTTTCCCGGCTGTCCAGACCCTCCGTGGTGCTCCAGGGGCCAGCAGGGTCCCCACACCCCGACCCACCCTATCCCCGAGGCCTCCTAACGGATCACTGTGCTACTGTGTGGTTTGATTGTGCTGACAGTTACGTGCCACTGTGCCCATAATAACAATTTTTCTTCTTTGTTCAAATGAAATTTCTAATTACACGTGTGATGGGTTGTTTTAATTCTTTTCCCTTTCCAAATCCACCTTCCTGTTGCAATGCATGATGAGCAGGCTCAATATTGTGCATGACACCCGCTACAAGTGTTGGTAGGTGCCAGCTTTGTTTCTTGATTATCTTAAACCTGTGGTGCAGCTCACAGACCCTCAAAATCCACTGCTAGATGTAACGTAGAGCCCTTGTGCCAGTCCATCTCCCCAAGCCTCTTGCACTAACACCTGTCAATTAAATGCGATTGTTTTATTTAATTGACATGGACACAGAGATGTTAATTTTGTACAGCAGTTTTTAATTGCACACTGTTCCTTGGTGGATTTTGACTGGACTATGAGTTCCAGTGTTTAGAAACTATCTTGTGTTAACTAAAGACTGTATCTTACCATAGCCACGTAGCCGTATTCTGTCCTTGAACAAGATTAATTTCTGTTTGCAGTAAATATTTGGGTTGAATTTTTAAAAGACAAAAATTTGTAAATATAAGGGCATTGAAAAACTCTCCTGTTGATTTTCGTATTGAAATGGTTAAGCTTGTTTGTGTCGATTTTCTTGATTTGATGGTAACAAGCATTTTCCCCTTTTTTTCTCTTTCATCTCCCTCCCCTCCCTCCCGGAATGTTGTCCTGCTTTGCACTGTGGTTGCATGTCACGCGCTGGCAATGATGTCTCGGGCTTTTTGCTGTGGTAAACCATGCTCAATGACCCTCCCACGTGTCGCTCTGGTCCCCATACTGCTACACTCTTCTGTATGTTTGCTTATTTGATTTTCCTTCCGAAAGTTCCCATGGTGCACGGTGCTACGCCAGCCACTGTGTCTGCAGCAACAACATCTGCCACAAGTGTTCCCTTCGCTGCAACAGCCACAGCCAACCAGGTTTGCTAATTTACAGCTTTGTTCCTTACAGACAACTCGAAATCGGTGCTTTAATGAGCATGGGGGTTTGGATCTGACCTCTTGTTGGCCTACACATTCTCTCAGAGAGCTGCAGCACAGCTTAATCAACCTTTAGCCATGCTCCAGAGGTGCTGCAGTTCCATTTCTGATGCTAAAAATAATTGACAATAGAGTTTCTGACTCAGTCTTAACATTTATGGGCCATGCTGCTTATTTCTGCTCTCAGGGATGTAAAAGGCAAGGGATAATACACGAGCCCACGATTTATTTCTGTTTCTGTGAAGCCGGCGGCTCCTTTCAGTGCAGCACTCAGGGAAAGCCAGGGGAACCTTTGTGCAGAGGGGCTGCAGGTTCTTACAGTCTGAGTTTAGCAGTCCAAACATGTTCTGACTCTCCTCTTCCAAGAGCAAAACAAAGCCGTGTGAGCATGGGCCACACAGAAACTTCTTTGAAATCTTTGTTCCAGCTTGTGATTCTCTTGGGAATGGCCCATTGCTGTGGGCAGAGCTCAGTTAGGAAAATGCCCATTAGAGTCTGGGTTTATTTCTAAGTAGCCACCCCAAGCATTGCCACGTTTGGGTGTATTTCAGGAATATAAGAGTAATGCTTTACCACATAAATGATTACAAATCTCCCAGGAAAGCCAGAACCGATGCTCTAAAGATGAGTTCCAGGGCCAGAGGAGCAGCTGGAGCTGCACCTGAGCACAAGGTGCTGTCAGAAGAGCAGATTTATGTACAACATCTGGCTGAAAGTGCAACAATAAAAACATTTTAAAGATCCTCTTGTTCCTCTTCTAAAAGCAAATTATTTTTTGAGATTTACTAGGCAGTTAGAGTTGCCCACGTCAGTTCTGGTCCAGTATGGGGGTCTTGCTCCCAGCTCTGGTATCACACGTGTGCCCCTTAGGAAAGGGAACTCGAGGTTGTCCTCAGCGCTGTGCAGGTGTGGTTCTGTGTGTGGGGTGAGCTCTGGGGTCAGTGTCAGTGTAAGGCAGGCTCAGCTGATGTGCTCAGCTCCCTGGCTCAGTACAGACGACACCTCTGCCACCTCCCAGAGCCCCGGCAGGCTGGGGGTGCCCTCTGTGCCTGGGCAGGATGGTGCTGTGGGCACCCCGTGCTGCAGAGTGAAGCCCAGGGTCTTTGGCTTCGAGCCTTTGCACCTTTACCTGTCGAGCACTACCATTTTGTGCTGCCCCAGCTGTACGTTCCTCGTTAACCTGTCTGCTTCCTCATCTCTCAAAAATACAATTCCCAAATGACACCCTTGCAGTGATACCTAGGTGTGCACATCCCGAGCCTCCAAAGGGACCTGGATATTGTACAATTCCCAAAACCACCCAGGTTAGTCTGCTCATGCAGTCATGCTTAGGTAGCACGGTGTTCTCTTGAGAAACGTTTGCTGAATGACCAGGTCACTCAGGGCTTTAAACTTAGCCTAAGAATTTGTGTTTTGAAAAGCTAGTTCATAGGTGGGGCTACCTCTGCATATGTGCCACCTCAGCAAGCAAACACCTGTATGCCCAAAGTCTCTTCATATTACAGTTTATTGCACCAGACAGTTAATTTCAGTGTGTCTCGTATCCTGTGTGTGTCCTGAGAGTTACGAGAAGGAGCCAAGCCCCAGAAAATCAGCACTATTTTTGAGCCATCTCTGTGTTAGTAGCCATGCACTTTCCCAGATAGATCACAGGGCAGCTTTCTGTTGTAGAATCCGACCATTTCATGCCTTTCCTCCCCGGAGCCTCATAACACACTTAGTGCAGTTCTGCAGCCAAACCTCCATATATACATATATACCCATATATGTATATACCATGTGAGCAATGCTGAAGGTATTTAATGCCACCCGATGCCATGTGCCTGCATGCCAAAGGCTAAAGATCTGGCCCTTCATCTTCCCGGACTGGTGTTGAAGGCCCTTGGTCTGTTCCGACAGCACTGTCCCTGATGCTTCTCCAGTTGGGTGCCACAGCCTGTCCTGCAGCAGTAGGAAAACATGGTATGAGAAGCTTCATTCTGCTCCAAGCCCATTTCTGTGGAGTTGGCCATGCTGTGGATGTGTGAGCTGCCAGGGGAGGAGAGGGCACACGGGCGGGAAAACAACAGCAGGACCTGCCAATGAGTTAGCGGAGAAGAAACACTCCCATTCCTTTTCCTGGATGGATTTACAGGCCAGCCTTGGTGCCCATCAGGAAAAAGGGTCTTCCTAAGTGCCACAGGCATTTGGGATCGTGCAAATCCATTTTGTGCCCTGCACCCCAGCCCACGTCCCTGTGCCCGGGCACGTTTGCTCTCCCTGTGTGCTGCAGGGCTGCTCACCCCGGGCTGGGGGTGCACTGTCACCTCTTATTGGCTCTGCTGGCAGTTGTCCCCAATTGTAATTGCAGTTTTTTAAACGGGAAGCTGAGCTGATGGGCACTTGAGGAGAGCCATGTGCCGAGTCCTGTCTAGGCAGCAGAACATTTTGGGAATTGTTTCACTGCTCGGGGAGGCTCCGTGTGCCAGCTGCTCCGCACGGCGGCCGTGGGAAGGACGGGCAGCCCTTCTCCACAGGGCATCTTCACCAGCCATGAAAACCTAGCTCAGGGCATCGTAGGTTTGGCATTCAAAACTCAGGACAGTGGAAGCAGTGAACACTTCACAAAATCAGCCTGAAATGAGACCACTGTAGAATTCATCATTGGAGACACTGAAAGCACAGAATTTTGTGTAGGCCAACAAAAAGGGCTATTTTCAATTACTGCACTGCATGACTTGTAGATGTTAACTTCTCTTATTTCCTGAACAACCAATAATACTTATTTATATTTGTCCAGTAGTACTTAACCTAATGTTTCCAGTTGTAAGGTGCTATTGTAGCACTTCAGTTGACTTTAACTTATAGTTACAACATAAAATCCACCAACTCACAGCTGATCCTCCCCTTCCCAAAGTGATGTTCTGTAGCAAATGCTGTACCTCTGGGTGGGCTCGTTGCATGTGTAACTCACTGTTTACATTTTTTACCTGTAGATACCCATAATATCTGCCGAACATCTGACTAGCCACAAGTATGTTACACAGATGTAGACATTTGGTCATCAAACAGTAAGTTCCCAATGTGTTGTTGCTATATTTTTTCTTACCTTTATATTTGTAATTTGCTGCTTTCAGGGACAGAATGTTTTTATTTTCTTTCTAAGGTAGCCATTAAGATACAGGGGCAGAGGCTCTGACCTCTGCTGAGGGGCTGTTCCTCTCTGAGGGGAGATCCACAGGTAGCAGTGGCCACATCAGGTGTTGGTTTGTGCCTGCCCACACAGCAAAACAGGAGTTCTCAGTTTATATTTTATCTGTGTGGCCCCAGCACTGACCTGAGCCGTGGGGCAGCTCTTGGAGGGGGAGGTGGTTCCACCAAGTTCTCGTTAGAAAGAACAGATTTTAAATCTCAAAATTTAGAAACCTGGCATCGCCTGGGTTTGGAAACTCCTGTTTCTCCTGTTGTCGTGAGACCCCCTCCAGCTATCCCCTCCCTTTCTGCCATGTTTTTACTGAACTTCTCGGCCATAATGGAATTATTTCTGAGGGTGAGGATTCACCCATTAGCCACAGTGGGTTTGTAATAACAATTATTTGTTTCAGCTGAGCATAAATGTTGTTAAATGGCTGGAGTGACACGGGGGGGTGGGATGGGATGGAATGGGATGCCTCCCATCTATGGCCTAAACTTGCTGCCAGAGTCCCTTCAAAACAGCTGGGTCCCGGCTGTGCCTGTTCTGGAGACCATCCTGAGGTGGAGGAGGAGTTGCCTCTGGAGGTGTCTCCTGTGCCAGGCCACAGAGACCAAACAGCTGCACTAGATGGGCACTGAAGGGAGAAAAATTCCCTTGGGAACATAGGGCCTGGATTTCTAAGGATGTTTTTTGCTTCTGAGATCCTGATTGGGCTCCTGGGTTTTACAGGAACAGCTCCCAGGGCCAAGGCCTTGGGTGTGTGGAATGGTGCCCCAGATCCCGATCCCATGGCCAGGGATCAGCGGGTGGGGCCCCTCTGTCCCCACAGAGCTGGGGTGCCCTGTGTGCCCCCCCTGCCCCAGGGGTGTCCTGCAGGGACCGGGGGCTTCCCACGCTCGGGGCACAGCTCCCCCTGCCCGGGTGAGGTTGGG